ACTCCGGGGGCTTCCTCCGCCTCCCAGACCCCCGACTAGTTGCGCCATCGCTGAGCGAACTCTGCCCAACATACTGCTGCCGCTGTTGCCGCCGCCGGGCACCGCGGGCTCGGTGCGGCCAGAGAGGGAGGCGCGCTGGCTGGCTGCGCTCCCGCCTCCTCCTCCTCCTCCTCCTGGGCTCGGGCTGAACTCAGACACGTCAGGAAACCTCCAAGATCCTCCTCCAGCCGCGTCCTCGTCAGCGCACCGCGAGCCTTAGGCAGCTTCGGAACCTCTTCCCAGGCTCCCCGGAGGTTTCTCTTCCCACCGAAGCACCGTAGTGACACCGCCGCCCCCCCGCTTGCTGTGCCTTGGGGGCCCCCTTTCTACTGCTGTGAAGGGGTACCTTGAAGGCTTCTCGTAAGCCTTCTGGTCGGGTCGTCCTGCAGTCGAGCTGGACTCCCGGTGTCTTATGGACAAGCCCGTGTCGTTTTCTTGACAACCGCGCAGCAATGATTTACTTGTTTGGTTGCTTTACTTCCCAGTGACAACCTCTGATTTCTTGGTGGTCTCCCATCCTTGTTAGCCAGTCTGATCTTGCTTAATTATTCCAGATCAGCCAAGTTCAGCTGGATGATTTTGCGATTCTTCTCCCGCAATAGATCTACTAGCATTTAAGTATGTCTTATATCTCTAAGCCCTTCAGAAGCACCTGCACCTTAGGATTTTCACCCTGTTATACCTACAGTTCTGGCTTTGTAATGCACCTGGCTCACCTTAGAAAAGTATACAGCTTTAGAAATCAGCTGTTACTCCTAGTCTTCCATTGTTTTCTGAACGTGTTTCTGTTATCTTAATGCTTTTACTGCCCCAGAGAAAACCATCTTCAGGGAGGGATAAAAAAAAAGTTTGGGGGGGTACCTTCATTTATGTACCTAGGGCTATCAAGTTGATTTCCCCCCCATCACCACCACCACCACCACCACCGGACTTCAGGTGTTTACTTTTTTAAAGCTGGTCTTCATATACAAGTCTAAAGTGAAAAGCACAGTTAACAAGCAGGCCAGGGACCAATCAAGAGCCATCTTTAACCAAGTTATATGGCTTACTGATATGTTCAACCCCCAAACAGGTGCTGTTCTGGGATTTGGAAACTGGGACTCATGCCTCAGGTTTGCTGTAGATCACATGTGCTGTTTTCAGAGACCAATATGGTGCCTGTTGTGAAAGAAAGAGGAAGTAAAAAATTTGCCTAAAGAGCTGCATGGTCCTGGGAAGGTGTGTGTCCATGTAAGAATGCAGGCCACGTGGGCTTCCTGACCAAGCTTTTCAGTTTAGCATGTCCAATGAACATTGTCATGTACTGTAAGAGTTTACATCTTTAGCCAGGTCCCCAAACAAATGGCTTCATTTCCTCAAATGTTTCCATTCAGTATTTCACAGCCAAGAACTTCCTGCACATCTCAACTTCCCTGATAGATCTTCAGTCCAGAGGCACTTTTGCAAATAAAAACGATGCCTGATGCTGGTATTTATTTTACAGCATGCCATATCAATGATTTTTATATTCAAACAAAATCAATGTGGACAGAAAGCTTGGCAGCCAACCAAGTGCTCTTAAGAACCATATTGCCTGCCCTGGACCTAAATATATTACTCCATTATAGTGTTATGTTTGTTCTGTACTGAGGGATTCTTGTATGAGGGATCTGAATTTTGGTTTTACTTGGATTATTCTTTGCCAGGAGATGGATGTTGTTTTTGTTAGCTGGATTTTATCCCTGAGAGCAAGGATAACCCCAGGCTTCTCTTGCATGCCTCAAGAAGGAGTCCTTAGGGAGCTTAAGGACTGGGATAAGAGGTATATTTGATTGATCTCAAACTGTTCTTTTTACAGAGGCTTCTTCAACAGAAAGCTATGGATCTGGCTGACAAACTGTGCAACACTATATACCCAAATCAGTGCTGAATAGCCCAAAGTGGCAACGGAGTCCTGTCCGCTAGCTCTTAACCCCAGCACAACCAGCCCTAACAACATTGGTCCCCTCTTGGCCCTACAATGTTTCCCACATCTTATCCCCAACCCGGAAGTGAGTTGCTGTACTGATATAGATGCATTATTTCTCCTCTTATCCCAGCATGATCAAACAACAGCTTCACAGAGTGTAAAATCATCTGTGCTTTGCCACCATTACGTAGGAGGCAAAGTCAGGTGACAAGTAGTTTGTGTGGCCTGAGGTGTATAACGGGAGTGTGGAGAGGTATGGGCATTCCCCCCCTTCTCTGGTTACAAGCGAGGCTTAACTGCAGCAATGTGTCTGCCAGCATTTGCCCATTTAATAAGTAATTGGTTTCCCAAGTTCCTTCATGCCTGTTACCTCTCTGTTTTCGATCTCACCTTCTCTCCAGTCTTCCAATATAATAGAAGAGGAGAGAGCAGATGTCCACTATTTCACCTGGGGAAAAAGTAAGAACACATTTGTGCTAATCTACTTTACTATATTCTGAAGTGTGTCTTTATCTTAAGATGCAGCAGCCCTACTTTTCCAGACAATGCAAGAAGTGAGGGGTGTTGAGCTAGGCCTAGTTACTTTGTATTTCTTAGTTCCAATAATTTCTTTTCCCCTCCATGTCCAGTGTCTAGTCAGTTTCACTTCAGGACCTAGCTAATTGCATAATCATGACAGCATCTGCCTCTCCTCTCTCAGAGACCGTTTCTGTCCTGGTATCTTTCCATATGCTTCTTTATTTCAAATGGCAGAAAAAAATTAATTTAATGGAAAGGAAAGAGTGTCTGTTAATTTCAAATGTTGGTTAAATTTGAATGTATATAATTTGCATATTTTATGTAATTTGTGCAATTACATAACTGAAGTTTTTGTTTCATCAATTTGCATCATTTCCATAATGTAAAATTGCCATTTTATATCAACTGTGCAGTTACATCATTATGCAAATGACACAAATTCATGCAAATTCACACAAATAACATCAGTTGTCCAGACAGACTTTGGAAACAATGGACTTGTCTGTTATTTTGTGGCTGAAGTGGGAATGGAAAGGTGTTCCACTGCATCTAAAGTCCATTAAACTCTCACCATTACAAGCAGCTCCTGTCATTAAGTTGATGTCTGCTAACTGTTTTAACTGAGAAGATGGGGAGGGTGAGAAGGGCAGGAAGCCACCTTAGAGAAGTCCAGCAGAGTGCTGAAGTTGGGCCACCCCTGTTTTGCCATGAATATTTTCCCTGCTGGCTGGTAGCTGAAAGGAGCTGGCAGCAAAGCCAGTGCAGAAAGCCCATCATCTTGCATATAATTACTTGCACACTCACAAATCAGAGTGACTTAAGTTCAGAACAGAGCCAGAACAGACACAACAGAGAAATGATAAAGATTATCAGTGAGTGGGAGACAATAAATTTTATACTTTTGTTGTTTTGCGCTAACTCAGGGATGGCTGAGTTGCATTTTAAATTAACAGTGGGAAAGACCAGAGGCTATATAGTCATCGGTTAGAGATGCTTTAGTAGATCCTGCACTGCACAGAGGGTTAGGCTGGATAATCTCTAAGGTATCTTCCCACTCAATGATTCTATGATTCATTGACACAGAGTGTAACTCTCCACTGAGTGGAGAAAAGAGTCCAAGTGAGTTGCTAAGGTCAACTGGTATGGTTTCTTTAGAGCAGGCAAGAGGTCTCAAGGAGATCATTAGTGGAGAAAGAATTAAGAATAACATGCACAGATAGGACCTACAAAGAAAGTTGCTGGGTGAAGTACTAATGTTCACGATTCCAGCTACTTCATTCTGTTGCTGCCTCTTCCACATATTATCAGTATCTGGGGCCAAGGAGTCCTTCCCCTCTTTTTTTTTTTTTTTTTCCTGGTAGTTTTGCAACCATGAAGTTCTCCCAGATCTGCTGACACCATTCTCTTCTCTGTGTGTGATACATTTTAGTTGGAGTTAGCAATAATACTTATGGCCTGAACATCAGAAAAAGAGGGAATGATTCATAGTCATAGAGATGGGATCTGAAAGCATAAGGCCATAAGGGGTTCACAGACAAAGCCAGCTGGGCTTGAGAAACAAGCCAAACAAGTTTCTGCTCAGGGGAAAAAAAGGGTTCCCAGTTGCCACAGGAGCACTGATGCCAAGCAAATGATAGCAAGGGCCATTGTCTGCCTGAGGGACACCCCTTTGCAATGGGAACTTCTTGCTGCAAGACAGAGCAAAGCAGCCTAACAAGAGGGTAGAAGTGCAGCAGCATGCAAATGGATTTGTTTAATTGTAGGGTTTTTTCACTGAAAGAACTCCATGACAGAAATGTCTACAGGGTGTGGTTGAAATAATCAAAGTGTTGGCTACAACAGTGCAAAGGTCTGATTATACCATTGTGGCTACCATTTTTGACTTTTTCAACCTGCAGATGCCCTGCTCCATGAAAACTGTAGGTCAGGCTGTGCTTCTAATGGAGACTATTGACTTGATGGTCAGCAAATATCCCTAACCCTCTTGGGCAATTTAGGACTTACCTTCTTGTAGCTTCCTGAAGCTTCCTCCACTGTAGCTCCCAGAATTGACAATCAGCAAGCTAATAGGCATACTGCTGGTGAATTATGGAAGTTGTGGTTCAACATATTTGGAATACACTACAAGAGGCAGTTGCTGTCACTGGCTCAATAGTTCCT